GGGAAGAAGACGTATGCATTGGAGGCACAAATGTTTTATGAGCGCATGTGCTCGGAATGCAGTAAAGTTCCATCCCGTAGATTCGTTTATGAGTTGATTGGAAGGCTCGAAAATGTCCGTGTTACTAATGTGACAGACGCACAGTACTATTCACTTTCAGTAGGCTACAGTCTCGCCTACGGAGAATGCATGAAAAATTGTGGAACTGGATCATAAAGGCGAAAATTGTTAGTCAGAAATTGCTGAAAAACTCCTCTTATTTCTAAATTCAACGAGATGTGTACCAGGTGAATGTTGAGCAAGTGGTGGTCAGAAAGTCTGACGTACCTCGATCTGTAAATTTTACAGAGAAAGCAGACTTCATAGAACAGCATTCTTCCTTTCAAAATCAGTTGGCAAATGTGCATTAAACATTATCCTGACTGTCTAATTTTTGTTTCGCTCCCTTCATAACTTCTGAAATTGACCATCTTTCTTTGCAGGCAGTGGTGCGGCAGACGGAATTAAAGGTCAAGGTCGAGTCTGTCTAGACGTCGATGAATGCGAGGATGCTGCAGTCCGCGCAGAATGCACGCAACGCGGTGGAGTTTGTACAAACCGCCCCGGGGATCATCAGTGTCTCTGCCCTTCGGGACGCACGTGTCTTCGTGAGTTCACGAAACTTGCATGCACCGTGGTGTCTCGTCTCATTTCACTTGGCTTTGTCGGATGTGGCTTGGGCTGTGTTTTGATTAGTTGGTGAAAAATGTCGGCACAATTAGTTGTCTAACCCCTTGGTAGGTGTGTTGATCTCCTTTGCATGATTCCATTTCAAGAAAACGTTCTGTCCATTTTTTGGGTTTCTAAATTGTTTTTTTTATTACATTCTTCTTAAAAAATAATACAATTGGATCATACATACTTGTTTTCTTCAACAAATAATGGCGAAGTCGAAATTCGCTTTTCTCGCAGTCTGGTCTCCAAATACATCACCTTTTTGAGCCTTAGATTTTTCTCTTTGGTGGATTTCATTCCGTTGGGTCGTTATAAGTCGGTACTCACTTTGGTTGGGAAATCCAATCGTTATACTTTCTTTCCTTAAATAGTTAAATGTTCTCTGGACAATATGCCGCATTTCTCGCCCATTTTTAATATTAAGTTATTTTCCGTTTTCGAATCTCCCCTGAAGACACCATGTCTGTGAAGGTCATTATTTTTAATCTTCTACTCTTTGAATATATGATGATAAATCAGTTGTTCGGATTAAACTTATAAAATAACTGTTAACTTTGTCACCTGATTTTGTATTCTATTCAGTATTATTATTAATCTTTACCTTTTACTTTATTCCTAAGTCTGCCCGCCACTTTTATCAACAGACTAAAGGTGATGGAAACTCGATTTCCTATCGTATGCCTCCAAGGTCCAAAAAAGAGAGTTAAGCAATGTTCTATTGAAATAAAATCGGTAGTGAAGTAGTTCTTGACATGCATCTTTGTTGTTGTGCGATGCCTCGAGTCTTCGCTGAGGTTGTTATAAACTTCACTCGTGGGGCCGGGCAGGCTGTAGACACGGTTTTAGTGTCATGCCACCTAGCGGAAGTACATCCTGGCGCGGCTGAAGGATCCGCGAAGACAGATATGCAATTAAAGCAAATGCGTAATTAGTGGAATATTGCGGCGCTTCATCCATTTTCGAAAGATGGGAGTTTATTGAAGACTCGTGTCAAGGTTAACTTTTGGATGCCTGTTTTGATTATTTTAAATCAACACGAGCGCGGTCGAATGGCCAAAAGTGTTTGCTATGCCACTTGGATGTAAATTGTGCCATTTGTAATTTCGGTCCACCCTTCTAATACCATGATTATGGCTGTAGCTGGACGTCAGGGGTGCTCAACATTAGTCACACCAGTAAGGTCGTTTTCTAACCACTTGATCGGCGCATAGATGACCCGGCATGCGAGAGCATTTCCTCCTCACACTGAGCACAATTTTGACGGAGATAAGATTTTCCCTTCATCTCTTACTTCTAAAGCATCGAGGACGTGGTGGATCACTCGCCATTCTACCACAGAATTTAATTATTTTCAACGTTTATGAAGCCCTATTTCTGCTTTCCTTATTTTAAAAACCATTTAAGAAGTGTATTAAGTAGATTCAATCGGACTTTGAACGAAATCAAATTCTAGAATCCCTGACCATTCCACTGAGGTCATCTTGCTCCACAAATATAGCTGACGATTATGAATTGGCTGGCTAAATTTGAGCGGATCTTTACAATAAAAATTAAATGACTAGAGGCAGCTTCTTCGAACGTTTGCTCACTAGAATGATTGTCTAAACCCTTTTTTTTACTAACAGGACTCAAGTTCATGAAATCCACCTCTGTAAAACAGTTAATCCCTCAAAACATACAATCCAGTCCTAGCTGTTACCTTTCCTATCTCCTTTCATTCCAAACTCCCCATTTCGAATGTGATCCTGTAAATCCAAAAATAGGTGAAATTACTTGAGGCAACATCGTCAGGGTGATAGGGGAGATGGGGACAAGGCAGTGTTTCTCTCCCATCGTAAACTACTGCACGAGATCTTGCATTATCTCAGAAGAGTATGGCTTTCTTCCTGTTGAAGTTCTCGCAACCCCTAGAGTTGTAGGCGGTTTGGTCTTCAGCAGGTGGGAAAGTCATAGTAACCTCACACACACACACAGGAGACGCAGCCGTCTGAGGATTATGTGGTGTGCATCTTCGCAGAGTGGGGTGGGTGGTGGGTTGTGCCTTTGGAGCTGGCTAGTAATATGACTGTTTGCTTATCGGACGTTGGAGTGAAAACAAAAACTGCTTATTGTCATCCGTTAACTCCTGACATCATGGTAGGGCGCATTGACTGAGCTTCTGTCACGGCTTTCACTTACCATTTTATGTTGGTGTAAACTCACTATCTACATTACGTCAAGGAAGATTCCGAGTGCCCAACACTTGAATCTCGACTTATTTTTTTACTTAATAGTGGCACGATTCTTCATTACCATCAGAAGACTTGAGGTAGTCTAGCGCCCTTTTCTACCCTTTTTTTAAAAGCCTCTCAAGGAAATTTAGGGAGAGACTACTGCAACCTCGAGATTAAGATAAACTCGATTTTTAGAGCAAATAACTTCGATTCCTTAACCATGTTTAACTGACGTGCTTTATGATCCCCGCTCATATATATTAGTACATATTTTGCATGTCCCTAGAATTCACAAGACCAGACTATTACTGCTTGGACTTTTTTTGTTACTTGATGTTTTCACTTCTTGGCAAGTGCATGCTTGTTTTGAGCTGACATTGTCATAGCAATACTGACCTTATGAACCCGCTTGGGTGCCATGTGATGTTTGTTTTCGGGACGGACTTTTGCACGTATAAATTAAAGTTCCTCGGCCCAACTAGTATACATGAATTTCGCTAATTAGGATGAGATCAGTGGTTCCCCTTGGAATTCTCTTACTGGCTGTCTGTGCCTCACTGGCCGTCTGCAAGGTGGGTCCTCTCCCTTGAATGTCATTCTCCCCTTTTTCTTCATCTCACAATGATACGTTAGCTGTTGTACTGAACTCTGTGCCACTTGAGATCAACTTTATGCTAAAACAGCCAATCAGGTTCTCTGCTGTCTTCTGATCTAGTATTCTTTGACATTCTAGATTGCTTGTTTAATCACCCCAAGCAGCAGAAAGTAGGCTTTGGTGGTTTTCTTTCCCTCAAACTTATTCATCTCCTTTCTCTCATTGCAAGATTGTCTTAGGCGTTCGAGTGTACCCTACGACTTTCGAACAATGGTTCGGAGTTAATGGTCTCTTCTCTAGACATTTCTCACCAGGGGTAGTAATTTTAAATTACTGAATTTTCTGGTTTTTTGAAATTTTTTCAAGAAATCTCTCAAGTACCTGACCTCTGTTAACTTGCAAAGAAGCGGCATCAAAAATGCGTCGACTCTTCCGCAGTTTTCTTTCCTCTTTACTTACTTTTGCATAAAAGCAAATAACTTATTGCCTTAACGACCCTAAAAGGGAGGTTATCCATAGATTGGATTATTCTAAATGTAATCGGTTTGAAAAATTCCCTTCTTTATTCCGAGATTGAGCCTAGTCTTGAGTAGAGCAGCATGTTTGCCTTCCATAGCCGGCGTTGGATGCGAGGACCGGTGAGTCACTCCCCACCCGTCGGCATGAATGCTACCTCAACGAGCAAGGTAAGCTGACGTGAGCATATGCTTATTATTCGTGTGTAGACATGGGGGTAGCAAAGATGCACATTTTCGAGCTTATCGACAAGGTCTTCACAGCCATTTGCAAGTGTAAGGACCGTGGTGCTTCCCTAGCTGAATGCGAGTTGACTGCGTTCGTCAAGGTCAACGGCACTAGTGACGGTGATCATTCAAGCAGAAGTGGGGTTGGTGACCTGAAACCTGAAATCCAAATCATAGACTCACGTCACAGGGAGTATCCTCAACCACAATCTGAAACCTCAGATGCCATGCTGCAATATCGCACTGACCAACCGTACATTCTGCGTCCGTATCCCTACCCCTCCGGGAAGTCCCCTTCTCACTTCAAATCACAGCTGCAGAGACCTGATAAATCTCCCTCCTCATCGGGAAGGATTGCTGACCAGCCGACTATTCACCGTCCCGTGTGGCCAAGTGTTGATTCACGTTTTGTAAGGGTGATGCCCTATCAACCAAACCTTGGGGAATCTAATGCAACTTCCTCTTCCCCGAAAATAGTCGCTGCACGCCCAACTTTCAAGTTCCTCACGCTTTCAGATTTTGATGCGCATTCTGAAGAGTCAAGAGTAGAAAGTGATTCGACCGAAGTGCTCCATAAAGAAGGCAACGATGATGGTCATCATCATCATCGTGTTGCAGGTCACATTTTCCCACGGCATCATGAAGAATAGAAAGCATTCGATAAAGTAATATACGGAACTCGCTTTTACCTACATGATTGATTAGCTCCAAGGTATTTGTTTTTTTCTGTGTTTGGGTCACAATTGATAAAGTTTGATGGGATGTTGGGGGGCTTGTACTAATCACTAAATTACATGGGGACATCTGAGATTCATGATTTCTTCTACGTCCATCAACTAACTCAGACTGGTGCTTACTATTTGTCAGTCGGTGACTTGGTTTGGGGAAGTAGTGATCTTTGTAACTAATTGCATCTATAGTGGAAATTCGAGTCCATTTGGGCTGAGGCTTGTAAAATCCAACTTCTCCCGTAAGAGGCGCGAATGCTTTGAAAATTCTCAGCCTTCGTCAATTGCACACAGACTTGTGCTGCTCACTGAAGCACATCACTATCAAGTGAGTAGTTTTCGAGGGCTGTTCTGCGTCCTTTAAGCATTCCTCGTGGGAATGAATTTGTCTTAACGAATACTTTTAGAATGGTGATTTGAGAGCCCGCGGATGCTTGTAACAGTAAGTCTTTGAGCATACTTTGCGAGCTTATGAAGGACTCAGGCTCAGTAAGGTAGTTGAATGGCGTAAACGCTGCAGAGGCGGTTTACCAAACACCGACGCACGTCAGTCATTCTTGTGAATATTCAGGCGGTGGGTGGAACCCTTATCTCACCCCAGGCGCACATTGTGTGTCTAAATCGCGTAAGGGACGAGGACGCAACATAACTCCGCCTTGAAGATATACAATTTTGAAAGGTTAGCTTGCCCGCAGTTGTCCGGGCATGTGTTGCGTAAAGCCCTGATCCAGATGTTGGTTACATACCGGGGGGTGGCGGCCATGTTTATGAATGTGATAGAAAACTGTCTTGAAACGTCTTCTTTTCTTTTTTTGAAACCCAAGATTTCTGTTTATATTGGACACTTGTGCTTTTGTTTTTTCTATGGAAAAATACAGTGTCGGGGATGCTTTTTTTATTATGATTCATTGTCTTAGCTTTTTTTCGGCAAGTCGCTTATGCGTGTTTAGTTGTAAAAGTTATCACTCACCTGGTTAAAAAAAATAGCTCCAAATTTAATGCGTAAATCGCACCCAAAGAGGCGGGTGCAGCGTTTTGTCACAAACCGGTTATGTACTGGAGTTGTGCCAAAGGCACGGATCCATCTTCATCAAAATGTGTGTTTACTATGCGCATGCAGGTCTCTCTCGAGTAATTTATAAGTTTTAAATATGTCTGTGCCGATGTGACGGTTGCTGAGGTCTCCAGATACCCAACTGGCTACAGCCAAAACTTTGGCAAACATAGGCAGAACTTTTGTACAAGGTACGAAGGATTTCGCTGCAGTTTTTTTGCGGCCAAAATTATATAACTGCAGGACGTTCTTGAGATACCTTCTTTGTTAAAATAATCTGCAATCTCTCTCTAGCGATGCACAGACTTGTTAATCCCACTTTCATAAAACGCCCAATCTCTAGAAGCCGAAAGAACTCAGGTTTTATCCACCTCAATGTCTACCTTAATTTTGTTCTCCAACGGTCTACTCTGTTTAGGCTGCTAGTGCAATGTGACGAAAAGGTGTTAACCGCATTGAGCGTGGTGAAGCATTTTCAGAAGAATATGGCGAATGGGGAGGAGGCGAAACTTTTCCCTTCCCATCCTAAAGTACGATATATGAACTCTTCTCATATTTCAATTTTGTAGTGGTATAGAGCTCTGTGCTGATTTGAAGGAATTGGATGTCTGACTGGCTGACTGACTGACCGACCGGACCTAGCTGTTTTCAAGGTGGTTTTCTAGCACACGTCCGGATCATATCGTATCAAGTGGATTTCAGCAGTCAATTCTCAGTCAGCATTTCCGTCTCTGGGATGTTGCATGCCTTATAGAAGGGTAGAGCAGTGAGTGATGATGAGAAAAAGAAAAGGAAAACAGGAGAATAAAATTGGATCTATCTCTATCCATCCCGTGTCCAAATCTGTCTGTCATTTGGCCATACAGCAACTCAATTATCCTTGCTAAGTCGTCGAGTTTGAGCTTCTACGAGTGTTGATCGCTGAGCCTTTTAATCTGCACTTTCACAGACTTAGTAGAAGTGTTACTACTTGTTTATCTTTTCGTACGATAAATAATTCAGGCCATGTTGGGTTCTTAACTTCGACTTTTTCTTTCCACCCGTTGGGGACATTAATTGTTCCTTCGAACTCGACAATTATGTCCTTTTTCACGCAGAAAGTACACTACCAACCCTGTTTATTCAACCTTAGGGTTAATCCAACTTGTTTGCATAAACTGACCCCATCATGCACGCCTATTTAAGATTCAAGGGTGCTCTCTTCTCGTCTTCATTTGAAGTCATGCGACTTCCCGGTTCTGTATTTCTAGTCCTGCTGCTCTGGACGTTTGCTTCTCCATCAGTTTGCAAGGTAGGATCCTGTTTTAAGACAAGTCTCGTGGTGATGGTATAGGTCATGAATTAGGAAAACACCTTTCCAGCTTGGTACTTTAGTAGACTTTTACTTTTTAACGTGTCTTTGTCAAATATATCCAAATTTGTCAGCATTGATAGAAAGTGGATATTTTATAGTAGCTGAGGTCCGCGGGTATAATCTTGCATCAATTTTTTAAAGTCCTGATTGGAGGTGTCTTTAACTTTAGGGCATTTTGCATTTTCTGGGTTTTGGATCTTTTTTCTAGTGTTATGTATGAGTGAAGGTAAACGTAGCCTTCCTTTTAAGGAAGTTTTGAAATTTCCAGTTTCATAACTCTACGACTATTAACTCTCTTAGCCCTTGTCACTTGAATCCAGCACCAAGAGCCACGTCCTATCTCACCCCAAACGTTGTTATAATTATGAAGGTAAGTTTTGCATCGCCTTCTAAAAAATGATGCTATTTGTAGACATTGAAGCAGTAAAATTGCAGCTATACACGCATATCAATGACATTATTGAGGACATTATGGAGTGTATCAAGAGCGGTATCCCTATTGAACGGTGCAAGATGGAAGGTATCAGGCGGAGAGATGGGAGGCACCATGAAAAACTGAGTAACGGAAAGGCTGTGACTGTTGACTCGAGATGTCTTAGAGGAGAAAAGGACAAATCAAACGGTAGCAGTCATTTCGTAAGTGGTGGACCCTATTCTGGATCCAGTGGTAATGGTAGAATTGGTAGCTACACAGGAAACGAGGTATTGAATTCTGCATCCTATGAGTTTGGAAGAGGTGGGGACTATCCAGGAGAAGATGCTGAGAGTGGTGAATACAACGAATCTCTTCCTGAATCCAACAGCTATGGAGAAAGAAGTGGTTATATGGAAAATGACGAGTCCGCTTTTGAAGCCAATGGTTATGGGGGAAGTAATAGTTACACAGGTGACGATTTACCCGGTGTCTACAGTGGAAGCGGCAGTTATTTAGAGAGCCAAAAACCCTATCCTGGATCTTACAGCCCTGATGGAAGTAGAGGGTCTTGTGGAAGCAGTGAATGCTCTGATTTCATTGGTACTGGTGGCTATCCAGAATCCAATAACATGAATGTCAGCCTAGGCAGTCGTCAAACCCGTAACTTCAAAAATGAAATCAACTGTGTTTGTGATCAAGGAAGGGGTCCGGATGCTCGTTGTTCTTGTAGACAGCAGAATGAACATTAGTCATCTTACCTTGGAATTCAAGTAGTTAATAAAATGGCCTCTCACACTCGCTATTTCGCAATTGGGTGGGCCGTATTTGGGGTGGCCTTAGCCGTCCATTGGTTGGGGACGTCAAAATTGTGGCTTTTTGTCATGTGTTTGGGTCTAAGGTAGTAAACAAGGGTCAAAAGTAGCCTTCGGGATCGAAATAGCCTTTGAATGCAATTGAAAATATCCGCATGTGAAAGATTCCCATTATCCATTCTCCCGAATAATGTTCATATGTACTTCGGGTCTTGGAGCACTGCATTTATCTTTATTTACATTGTGTGGAGTACATGTACATACCTCCTCCCACAAAATCCCAATCTTAACGAACACTTTCCGGAATGTCATACCAAATTGCCCATACACTTGTCTGTTGCCCTCTTTCTACAGTTGCTTAGGCATCAACCTGACACACACCACGGAATTTTAAGGCTGTCATGAGTCTGCACATCACTGACCCTTTCATTCAGCTGCCCTGCCAACCCCTCTATTCTCATTCATCTGTTTTCGCGATGCTATTTATGGGTTTCTTCCTTATTCTCCCTGGTCTAGGCGACTATATTTGACCCTTTTAATCCATTTTATATTTAATTCAGTGTCTAACAAGCACTCCGTCGGGGATAAATTTACGACCCTGGCGCAATATCCAATTCTTCCTCCTTTAATGTAAGTAGCATCTACGTTTACCAGCCATCTGCACTTTCGAGTGCCATCTTTTGTGCTAGACTTCAAAGGCAGCCCGCGAAGGCTTGTTATTTCCCATCTCCTTCACCCTCTTTGTTTGTACCGCCTCGAAACTAGTGATATGTGAACTTATTTAGTAAAGTCCATTTTTTTTTAATTCCGGAGCCCTTCCTAATGTTTTTTTACGTACTGTGCACAAGATGCATAGTATTCTCAATTTTCTTGATAACACGAACCAATTCAGGTTGTCTTTTCTTTCGCGCGATGTTTCTCGGCTGGATTCGGAATTCCTCCCGAGGGAAGCCCCCTAAAACGCATAAATTTGTAGGATTTGGCAACCACCCTGAAATCGTAATTTTCCTCCCCCTTTTTGCTGCTTTAGGTGATGATGCGGGCTTTATTTGTTTGTGCATAATTAGTAATTTCCATGTAGAATAAACCTGTTTCAATTTTCCCGCTAGTATTCCAATGGGATTGTATGTTTGTGATTGTTTATTTGTTCCTCTACCCACCGGCCAATAAAAGTCCACCTTTTATGCCCTTAACCCAAAAAAGAACTAGTCAAAAGCTCAGAAATGCATATATTTAATTCACTACCTATCACAGCGTTGACAACGACGACAGCAATAGCATGAGACACTAAAATAAGGACTGTGTACTTATTACTTATTCTCCTTGAGCAGCCCCTTGATGTAGATGGCGAGCAGACTGCGAACAGCCTTATGACCTAAAGGAAAATATAGTAATTAACTTCTTTTGTAAAATATCAAAGTTTTCATGCAGAATAGAACCCACCCTGAGCAAATGCTTGTTTCAGCTGACCCAATTCAGCGGCGACTTTTTGACCTTCTTCTGTTGCAAAGTACCTATTTGCTTCTATCACTAGTGCCATTATGTTCTACAAGCACCAAGAGAGGGCATGTGCAATGGGATGCCATAATGAGGAGGGTGAAGAGGCCTAAGTGAACACTTAAGAGAACGAATTATTGGACACGCTATAAACGAATGATGGAATTATTAATTCATGGTTGGATAGTCAGTAATAAGGAATATCAATCACATTAGTGATTATATTGTGCAAGGTTCTCAAAACGGGACTTAGCCAATGTTAGTGAAGGTAGGAGAGACAGATTGACGTACAGGACCACTAAAAAGTCGAAAGGAACTTTTAAATTGGACTGACTATTCGGTCAAAAAGAACACGGAATGATGCTGGAAACAGAGGCTAACTTACGCAGCAGAAGTGACGGCAATGAGAGTGACCAAAACGAGGAGGCTGACGATGAAGAAACGCATTTTGCTCTGTCGAACGCGCTGTGATGTAGACTGCGAATTAGGCGTCCGACGCGGCTTTTTATACGCGTTAGGCGGTGTGACCCCGTGGCGCGATGTCACACCCCTGGATCTCTCTGTGTCGCAGATACGGTGTGACCTGGGCTGCACAAGGGGTCAGACCAATGTGGTGTCACGCCTGGATAAAATCAGTTTTCATTACGAATTTAGGTATTGGAGTTGTCAGCTCTGGCATCTAATTCGAGCCATTGATGCAGTTTCATGCTCACTAGTCACTTTTTTGATTGGTAAATTGCTTTCATTACTAATTAAGGCGCACTTTCTTTTTTTTTTTAAAGTTGGCTGAAAGTACCAGTGATCTTGGTAGTTTTGCAAGATTTTGTCTTGACGAAAAAGCGCCATGCAAACTTGTCAAGCAGTCATGACTGGGATCTCCCCACAACTCGAGGATGTGCAAGAAATATTTGCAAACATCTAGAATAGATGAACTAGTCTAAAGTGAAATCTATAACAAAAACATCCTCCATCTCACTTGAGCAGGGAGACTCCTCTTCCTCCGCATTCCTTTGACAATACTTCGCCAAGTTATGCAGTGTAGATTTTTATAGTCGGTTTAACAGCTATGTCTTCTTCAACTATCAAAACTCAAAGCGTTTTGTCTAAAGTCGGAATAACTCTTCTAAACTTCGTCGATGGTTTTAAGGTTGATGGGCAGTTAGTTTTTTTTGACAAGACCATCTTTCTATTATTTGGAATCCCAAAGTTTCAGAACGGCTGGGACGGGTGCGACCTGAGCCGAGGGTGATAGCGTATCAGATCCCCGTGAAATAACGACTGTTTTTGGTCTGTCTTTCTCGAATCCGGATTGCAGGGCTTATCCCCTCGCTCAAGTCGTCAGTCACGTTCGGTAATTAAAGGTACGCTAAATTCCAACCGTACCAAGACCTGGCATTTCACGCGTTAGCTAGACGACCACGGAGATGACTGATGTGTGGTAGTTCGGACACCCTGAGGTACAGACCGTTTTTGAAACGCCTACAACATTTAAATGTCTTACGATTGAGTGTTTTATTACTGTGCTTGAAACCTTCTATGCGAGCGGATGTCCAGAGCTTAGAATTTGTCCGGGTGATAATTCCTTCATTGGTACACATTATGACATGTTGAAGAGTGTGTAGACCTTACCGAACTGGCTGACGTGTAGTATGCACGTGACAAGACAGATTTGACAAGACCGCTGCAGGTAGTGCCGTCGCCGTATCTCCTCCTCTGTTATGCGTGCTTGTAGAATCAAAAGTCCCAGTTTGACTTCATTCTCGACAGTTAACAGATCAAAATTTGACCTGACCTCATATTTTTTTATCACTGTCAAATGGGGTAAGTTGAACTCCTACTCAACTAACAGGTTTTACGAACAACAATTACTTTTCTCATTCACTGCTTAAAAACGTCCAGTGCATTTTTCCACTCCAGAAGTCTTAATGCCTGGTAGAACCTTCTACATTCATCGACATTTCCCTTCAAGCGCTTATTAAAGAACCTCAAAGGTATTTACTTCCGCTCTAGTGTTGATTATGCTTGCCTCGAGGAGGTGGAAAGCTTCAAAACACAGAAGATTGTGCAAATTTTCTTCTCAAAGCCAAATTTGCCATCTTTTCAGAGGCAGAAACTCTTTTTGTTTTTCCGCCCTGGTCTCAATTGGCCGAGGTGGAGCCTCTGCAGTTCGGACGGTGATTTATTTGCACGACTTATAGAGAAAATGAATTGCGTTTACTACCGGCTTCCATCGCTTTGGTTATTTGCGTCGTTTTTTAGGGTTGGTGCCTCCAGGGTTGCAATTTTAGGCCATAAAATTTTACGCACGTTGCGTCCTGTCCTGGGGCTGTTGTTATTATCTAACGCTTCCACCCCAAATCTGTCGAAGTCTTTGATGCTTGTGACGGCACTTTATCGCTACTGTCTCTGGCGTACAATTTTGAAGACAATCAGGCAAATGGGTCTCTTAATAGTAATATCAAGTGCTTTATTTTGGATTTTGAAATTTTATTCTTTGTTTTGTCTCAATTTTCAAGGCATGGATACAGGAAATCTTGAAAAAAAAGGCATAGTAGCAGACTTTCGATATACCATTGGCTATCAAGGTATTCTGAGTTTGAAGGACTAACATTGCGACAGGCAGTCCATTAAAGGGATTTCTCACGCACAGCGGATTATGTCGTTGGCTGGGATGGCAAACATCTGGTTGAATTTAGGCAAGGTTGATCCGCTGAAGCATGTCTCTACCCCCTTTATATCACAGTGTATGTAAAGTTTTTAAAGAGGGAGTTCGTTTAACTTAAAATTTTACATGGCATGGCGTCCTGTACTGCCTTGGAAGTACAGGTCTTACCTCCCGCCTATTGATCCATCATGTCTGTTTTTAACTGAAGTCGTGTGGAGATCTCAGCCCTGATTGTTTGGCCTCTAGCAAGTGAACAAGGTGTACTCATCTGGGCTTGAATGATTTGCGTCTTTAGAATGTTTGAATGGTTTGGGGTGTCATCGATGATGTGTTCTTTGCTTGACAAATGACCACTACAATGTAAATGTTAATTCTCGCCATAAGTCACTCAGTCAACGGGCAAGCGACGCGAAGTACACGGTGTACGGTGTGTGAAATAAGGGAATAAGAACAAGGAGAAAGTTCTTGGGGCTTTTAGGTGGCCTTTAAGTGGGACCCATGGGGTTGGCTTCCACCGCCACAACCTCCTCATCCCCGTTGAAGTGGATGCAAACGTGCTGATGCATCACTCATGTGATGTGTTATAGAGATTGTCCACGGAGCTGGTCACCACAGTGATTTGCATTCGCGAAAACTCGGTTTATAAAGCAGACAGATGTAGTAAAACTACATTCATCGAGTTTGTTCAGGCAGGAAGCAGTACCTTACCGACAGACAATTTGCGACCAGGCATTCTGTAAACTGTAGGAACTTTTTGGCAGTCTGATAAGCATGGCGCATCTTTTTACTGAGAAACTTATCCCTCCCTTTTGCAGTTACTTATCTTTTCGCCGGAAAATTGAATGAAGCTGAATTTTTTTTGTTGGTATATTCCGCCTGTAACCCAGCGATAGTTGTCAATTCGTCATCTGCATCATCAGCTCTCTATGCCTAGTATAATTCTTAGCTACCTTCAAAACCTAGCACCCAATTTTTTCAACACCTTCGCTATTAGCATGATGTATTAGCATGTACATCACTAAATGTGTGGAGCTTATGGCACCAGTTGACAGCGGCCCGATTACACCAAATCGTGCTTTGCGAACAGCCTGGTTTAATTTAAAATCGTACGTAAGGAGGTGCGGATTTAATTTTATTCCAGAAAAAAAAATAATTTACTGCTTGTTCTTGAGCACCACCAGAATTAGCTGAAACAGAGGAGTATCAGTGTCACTTTAAAATAAGGACATTCCAGTGGACCACGAATGGTTGATTTCCCCTTCAAAGTGGCCTCTCCTTGCTGTTGTACCAACACACCTAACCCTTGTTCCGCTTCCCATCCTCACTCATTGTCAAGACTCCCTCTATTTGTTGCTTTAGAAACAGACATAGTCACTGCTTAAATCGCCACGACAACTGCTAATTTGACGCCTTTTCTTACAGAGAAGTAGTACACAATGGGAGCATGTTTACCGGTAAACTAAGCCTTTTATTTAAGACCACTATTTCTGAATCAAAGGTGAAATGCAAGCCCAGAATGTCGTTGTAATGGAATGCTTTTAATCTTTATTCCCTCCCCCCCTCCCCTACCCCCTCCCATCTGCCCTTCCCCTACGCAGACACGAACAAAAGTGACCATCAAATGTTTTAATGAGAGATCATGATTTCGAGTTTGAATTACGCCATGACATTTGTATTGGCCTCTCACTTCACTGGTTTAAGCAGCCCACTTTTTGGTGCATTGTTTGCCTTCTCCAGCAGGCGTTTCAGGACGTTTCCCAGCCAGATTTCGGCGCGTTCACGAGCTATTTAGGGGTCCTCATTTGAATGCACCATCACAGAGCTTACCTTTTTCGACCACATTAATTACAGTTTTGCCCGCCTCCAGCGCCCCTGTACCCAATTCGTCCTCACTGATAAAGTGTCCAATACCCTCCAGGATGCGCTTTATGTAATCCTTCAGCATTCGCATGTAGTCTTTCTGCACAACAGATGTGGTGATTAAGTGAGACAGAGGAATCACAAGCCTACCTGACTAAAAGACACAAAAGAAAGGAATAGTTGTGTTAAATTATTAAGAACTTACCCCGCACTGACACGTGGTGTGGTATTTCTAAAAGTTAAGGAAAATTGAGAGATTAATTATGGAGGGCAGGAGAGGGCGCTATTTACGACCTCGCAATGTCGCAATTCACTCACTGAGCAGCCACTGAGAGGACGAGAAGAATGAGGAATACGAGGGCTCTCATGGTGTATCCTGATTTTAATGTCTCAACTAGCTTTTTATATAAGCTCTTTGATGGGCGCTTGTTTACTACTTACATGTTTGAGAGCCTCCAACGATTATGCCATCTGCGGTGTAAACAGAATTGGTGATCGTCGTCACCGAAATTGTTTTATACAATTTGTTTTTTTTTTTTGAATGTCTACCCAATCGTCTCATATCAGTTTTGCGTGAAAAACCACTTTTATGCTGTAAATGGGTATACAGAGCAGGAGGAGCTTCATTCCATTGTTGTGGATATTCGGTCCTGGCAGATTGAAAGGTTCCGGTTGTTACCAACGCAATGTTGACGGATAACGCAGATTTGCGTTTCACTGAGGCTGAATCCACTTGTAAGTAAGGAATTCGGATCATATCCCACCTCTGCGACAAAGGCAGACGAATTGAAGCGTCTCGAAGGGGCTCCTCTGTGGCTTCCACTCTATTTGCGAATTGCGTTGTAGGCACGCAGTTGCTGGGTGCCGTATGCCAATCTGCATTCGCTGATTTATTTGTCGAATGAAATCATTCACCTGGATCAGTCTTATCCTCTTACAGCACTAAGAGTCCTGTTTTTCCATTACTTAAAATAGTGAATGAATTCACTACTAGGTTTAAAGACTACTGAACTGAAGACGGTCTTCTGAATTGGGGCGATGTCTGCTTCTTATCTCTGACAGACCAGACTGATTTGTACGAAGTTTATGGTATTGTACGTAGTGGTGGACATCTAAAAGCTCCTCTAGTATTATTTCTGAATCACTATTCCTGAAAGTCGATTCTCCTTCTTTAAAGGGAGAGGTGGGATAGCACTAGGTCCAATTTGTTGCCAAAACTGATAACTCAATTTTATCAACAGCGTTCGTTTTTTTCCCCAGCTTGTGATACGAAGTGTCCACCGGGTTATTGGCTCTATGGCAACTGTTCGCGTGGACAATCACTGGAATGCAAACGTGAGTTTTTCTTCACGTTCTTGTGATTCTTCACTTATCATTATTGTCCCTCTCCTAGGCTGCTCTGACGGCTGTCCTGCAGGAATGTATATTGCACGACCGTGTACACCGTACAGCGATCTTGTGTGTCGAGGTAAAGTTTACCCCCTCCCCCATTAATTTAAACGCAGTTTATCAGGTTGAGTGTGAATTCGTTCGAGATTTGGGCTAAATTATTGAGGGTTTATCGGTCTCAAATGTTCAGGTTCTTCTGTCCTTCCTGTCATGCGTGACCAGATACGTACGTCTGTGGGAAACTTAGTGACGCCTGTGAAATAATAAATTTATCCAAAATCCACTGTAACCTAGGAGTATTCATAAGAAAATCACCTTATTTTTACAGTTTTTTATTAAATTTGTGTCAAAATATGTTAAGTTAACACCTCCGCCACTATCGTCACATATGTGTGACACATTCTTTTTCGTTATGTGACAAATAGTTGTTCCACATTGGTTGGGTTTATAATTGTAAGGTAACCAGGCGAGGCATCTTCGTCTGAGGAGGGCATTGACACCCTTTTTTGATACATCTTTTTTGTGGGCGTCTTTCCCCTCAAGCCAGGGTAGCGATCATGTAAACTACTTTGGGAGGGTAAATTGGGTTTTGAGAGACCCTTAACTTCTGTCTTAAAGTATTATTAACTTATAACTGCTCGTCTAATTAACTTTATTTGTTTTCTCTTCATAATGTCTCATTTATGAAATATGAATCGGCTCTAGCCCGCAAAACCCGATTGAAATGTTTTTTATCACTTCAAGCTTGCAGACCGCTGTGCATTTCAGAGGAATTCGAATTCACACCCTGCAAAGGATCCAGCAATCGTGAATGCAGACGTAAGTTCTGTGCAAATGCATTTAATACGGTTTAGTTCAACAGCATTTACTCAAAACACAACTCTGCTGTGATGGGTAATGAGGAACACCTTAAGGATCTCACTATGAAAGTTCATGGATTTTAAGAACTAGAAGTGCGAGACCTTGGAACATCACTAGCCGGAATGTTCATCCAGCATTGTAAGGTTATCAAATAAGTTTGTACGGTCTTCTAAGCTACGGAGCAAATATTTAGGATTCATTCATGCCGAAACTCGATGCTGCTAATTCCTTCCACTTTTGTGGGCGTGTTTTGTTTCCAGAAGCCAAGAACCAACCTGTTTCTAGCCTTCTCAGTTTCTGTTCCACTTTTATTGCCCAAATAAAAGGCAAGAAAAGATGACAATCACTTAGCAAAACATGTTCGGAGCATAGACGATGATGAATTGCAAAATCATTTCTCCAGCGAATGAAGAACAAGCAAGTGGACAGCGTTAATTATGATAAACATGAGAGAAGTGAGGAACACATTGATCGTTTTTTAAGCTATCTGTCATGTTTTGTGCACCTGGGTGGGATCCATCCGCATAGCCTTCTGGACGGTAACTTCTCCCGCCGCATCCTCAAAAACTGTGCACCGGGTTCAACCAACATGGTACGTTATAAGGACTGAAAATGAGGTAAGAGCACTGAAGGGAACAAAGAGGGATACGGTGCTGGTGGACTGACTGACTCATCTCATCCATACTTTGTGATGAAAACGAACACTAATTTTGCTTTTAGGAAAGGACATCATTCCAGAACTGGTGATCCCCCACAAACGTCGGGTATGGTTCGAGGATCAACGAAAGGTTAAGGATGTGTCATTCATTCTTACTTCAGAGACGCTGCGACGTCTGCCAGTCAATCGGACTATCGTTCTCGATCGGGGTTCTGGCTATCAGGTTCCTCCACATCTTTTGTTCAAATTCGTTTTTTAGAAAGATTCTACTTTTTACCCACTGAGTGTCTTTTCCCATTTTTCAGGTGCAACTGGAGTTTGAGATGGTTCAACTGGAGCCCATCCTCGAACCCGTGAATCACTCGGCAAGTAATGACAATGCGCACTTCCTCGCCTCGGCACAGGAGGGCGTCAGTGCTTCGGAAGACCTCTACAGTCGTCAGTGGTTCGGTGGCAGCACTGCGGACGCCTCCATTTCGCACACACAGAGCGGTGGCTTTCACGAGAATTGGCATCGAGCCAACGAAACGCTGGCTCGCCTCTGTCCCTTTCCCATTCCTCCGGTCTACCATCTCACCATGCTTGTTCACAGAGTGGGTTATGATGCCCTCAAGGTTGTTACTAATGATATCAAAGATTCACATAACTTTATCATTGAGTGCTCTGCTTCAACTGTAGGGTTTCCGGCTGACTCCAGCTGCTACTGTCAATCGTATTCCATTAGTAGATTTACCGCTCATTCCTGTGTCAACTGATTTATTCCTGAAGACGCAATGGAGCACAAAAGTCGGGAAAGAGGTGCATCTTTTACGTATGGGAGGGTATTCAGACCAGGTTTCCACGCTATCATTCTGAAGATTGAATCGTGGGAGAGAGTACCATAGTATATTTTTACTACTTCTTACCTGTTCCAAATGAATTTTAGCGTTCATCCAAATCAGCTAAGAAACGGAGGTCGATTTAGTGTAATGAGTTTACAAGAAGGCGCGAAGATTCCTAAGCTCAACATCAGTTTGATTGATGTTTCAATCATCCAGTTACTTGAAGACCGTACATCAACAATTTTCCTCCCTTTCTGTCCCTTTTAGAATGTTACTACTGCCACTGATCCAGATCAGAGTCTCCCTGGTTACCGACCCATTCTAACCAGCTGCACCACCTACGAGCAACATGGAAACTTTCCACCCCTTGGATCTACACCTTCTACGTCGGAGGAGCGTCGAGACTTCTATGGTGACGCCGCGTTTGCCGGCTTAAGTGGCGACTTCGGTTATGGAGACTATCGGCCACTGAGAGGTGGTTTTTATCCCACCGCCGCAGCGGATGATGCCTACGTCTATGCAGCTCAGAGAAGTCGATTAATGGCAGCGGAAGCACCAAGTATATCTTGTCTGGAACCGTCTAAATTACCCGCCGTGTTTGGGCCAGAGTGGAATGATGAACTGGCTGCTCCGCAGACGGCCTTCTATGAGGAGAAGATTCAGTAAGTCATTTTGCATTCGCCGACTGATAACCAGTGTCCGATTTATCCTTGAAGGCGTCGTAGAATGGCTAAGGGAATATTGCGGATAGGTCAACAATGTAGAAGGCCACGTTTCTTCAGCCAGACTCCGTCCTTCATTACCACAAAGTTACTCTTCTCTTGTCTGATTTAATCACATGATAGGCGTTGTGGGTATAATAAGGGTTTCGGAGACTGGCTAAACTTTCACCAAAATGGCTGCTATACTGTGAGCTGAGACCCGCATTTGATCGGCCGTCTACGAAACGTGTACCCTTACAATTCTATGCTTCTGAGAGGCTGTGCATCCATCATTACATAATACCTGGAGTCTTCTTCCCCCAGTTTTGTGCTTTTTTTCCCAAGAAACTTAACCACAGCTCGCTGTTCTACTAGTGCCGGTCTTCTTAGCTAACAGCGTGCAGATTGCCCTACGCACGTCATGCACGCAGACTATTTGCATTCGAACTAGGGTCCGGTTGTCACTCGCTATCATCACAGTAATACGCCTCTTGATATTTGAAGAATTGGAAGTTCTAAGGAGTTTTTGGTCACGAATCTCTACCTGAACTTGACTAAAGTGGATTATCGAAGGTGTCTACGCCCTATTGGATCTTCTGAATTGTGTTAGTGGGAAGACTGTATGAATCCAGGATTCTAACCTCTTTCGATATGGTAAACCGCCTTGAGTACTTCATTCTTTTATGGACCTGTTGGAATCACGGTGCTTCTTCATCGCCAAGGACCTGATAATGCATATTAGCCTGGAAGTTGTTTTATATTCGCGTGTACAAGAGCTAAGAGATCAGTGCTACGAATAACCATGAGTAGGTTTCTCGGCACTTTCTGGATTGTAGTCAAATGTGAGACAGGAACGCGAATCGTCTGATGTCATTTCAGCACTGTTTGAAGCCTATTGCATCCATACGCAATGATACGGTCTATTTAACTCAAATTTTCATTCTGCGGTACCTTTCTCCACTTTCACTTAAATGGTAGTAACTTCGCCTAGGTGTGCGCAACTAAAGGAGGCGTGTCGAGCGTGTTTGGTGAACTGTGCGGAGGAAATAAAGAGTAGTTCACTCTCCTGCAAACCGACCGCAGGACCGGCGGATAACGGACGCTCGGGTCGGTTAGAGACGTGCTTTGATTGCTGTGCGAAGGACAACTGCACGTACATCTGTGGGAAGTATTCGGCGCATCGATGTCTCATGCGTCTTTGTAGTCGTGGTAAGCTTTGCAGATTTGTAGATTGAATGCAGCTGTGGACCAGACTGGGTCAGATCAGAAGAAGAGAGATCAGAGGAAAATTGATGAATGATTGAAAAAGTAGACGGTCCAGTCAGTATTTGATGAATGAAAGAACAATTGGTTGACTCTGAGACGGACGAACGAAGAACAAATTGACCTATACATCGGAAGATGAATTCGTAATTTCGACAGGTTTGCATGCTGATGGATTTATGAATGAGCTAAACAAACTTATTTGTTGATCAGGACTTGGAGTAGAAGGGTCAAGAACAAATGGACGGATGAGTGTGTAGTGACTTCGAGGAAGATTGAGCAAGGGGCAAAAGTGGAGTAATCGGTAAATGAAATGGAGAATGGTTAAATGGGTGGCGATTCGAACGAATTGGCTCGCGGATGAATGGATGAATGAGCAGTAGAATGATGGAAGAATGGATGGGTGAGCAGATGAATGAAGGACGGAGAAATGATGATAAGGATGACTGGATGGATGAATGAAGTGTGAATGAGCAGATAGATGAATAGATGGGTAAATGAATGAACTAGGAGAGGAAAGACGACCAAATGATTTGATGAATAGATAGGAGCGGTATTGATAGTTGAATTGGATGACTAGAAAAGCTTTGCGGATGTTTTAATTTTTGTTTTTTTTCTTTCTAATCTTTTCAGGGACGCGATTGGACTTTCGTCTCACGCCCGAGTGGCCCAAGGAGAACCCTTTCATCTGTCACGTTCAACCAGCATCCAGTCGTCCAATCTACCGCCTTCGCTGGTCCCTGCTGCACAATGGACATCCGCCGACTAAACAGACTTTCTTAGCCAGCTTATCATTAAACCAGCCAATCAGTGGGCCTCAAGGCGAGTCCATTTGGAGTGCGGGTAGTCAACCTTCAACTGGAGCAGCGGGTAAGTTGCCTTGATAAATTTCAGGCCCACTCATGTGATTTAGATGGAAAAATTTTGGTAATGGAACCGAGGTGGATAGGGCTCTATTCCTTGTTTGGACAGTTGTCAAATTCATTGTTCTTGCCTCTTGTAGATAACGTTGTGAAGCGCCTTCCAGATGGAACGCTGAATCAACTGTTTCGAGGGCTGTTGAACGTGGACTACACTCTGGGACTCTCACACATTCCAGACATTATCAGCGGCTCTGCTAATACCCAGGCTGCTTACTATTGGAGCACGCAGGCGAATTTCGTTTTTTTTCACCATTTTTCCACTTTATGGAGTCAGATAACTTTTATGTTTTGGGTCCAGCAAAAGTTGTCGTAGCCCATGAGAAAGCAGTGTTTAGAAGTCTTTCGATGGGTTTAATCCACATAACCGTAATGTGCTGTTATTGTGGCCTCAGGTTACCGAATTTTGTCCAAGTTAGGGACAAGTTTTATAAGGGACATTTTCGCCTTTTCTACTTTTCCAGTCTGAGTCTTGACTCAAGTCAGCTTAAACCTATTCTAGGGACAATCAAGTTATCCTTCAAGGACTTTCTCCGCTTTTTAACATCATGTCAAACAAATTCCCCCTTTTTGTGACGGAGGCTCCTGCTGATTTGCATATCAACTCAAGCTGACTGCGTTGCAGCTCAGAGGCTCCCCGAAAATTGATCAGTTTCTGTATTTTTTTACCTTCCAGACAATCCCCCTCCTCCAGAACACCATGGCAAGCACTTTTGGCGGTAGTAGTGGCGGTCCTCGTGGCGGAGTTGGGGGAGCCGGGGGCTACACAGGTTCGGGTAGCAGCTATCCCTTCCTTCCGCCGTTTGGATCCACTCCAAGTGATTCATCTAGTGGTGCAACCACTCCCAGTATCCTAGTCTGGCCTTCAAAGCCCTTTGAAGTGAGTACGGACCTCTGGCGTCGTCTTTCAGCAGCACCATGCGCGTCAGCCGATCATTTGTTGGAGAAGCTAAACATCTACACACCTGCATTGGCACCTTACATCGGCATGACTGACGTCCAGGTAAGTGAAATAGGGGGCGGAGGTTTGTCTTCTAGAGTCCCACAAATTGTGTGAGTCTGGAAAGCGACTTTGATATGAGTGGATTGAAGGGCTTGGAGACCATTTTCACAGGTAGTTTTGTCAGAGCTCCATGTTACTAGCGTTAATATAAAATCATGAGCTATGAAATTGGTCTCCCTTGTTTCTCTGATCGAGTTTTGAGGCCGATTCTTGACGCTCACCCTAGTTTCTCTTCTGTGTTGGGCATTATCACTAGAAGTCCAGTGAATCGAAATCCGCTGTGAGGTAGAATTGAGGGTCATATAATGATTTTAAATTATAATCAAAGAGCCTTTGACCTTGATGAATGTTGTGCGTCTTGTAGATCTCCATGGCGGTCAAATGCTGTGTTCTGTTGGCGGACTGTGCTTGTCACGGCTAGTCAACGTCCTCTAGCAAGCACTCTGGTCGTAGAGTCATTTACCTAAAACCCCAATAGCTCATTTGAATGCTTTACACATGAGGCAGCCGAAAGATTTTGTCCGGTTTTCTTATTAATGAATTATTACAGAAGTCTTCTTGAAATTTTTCATTCGTTTAAACAATCTCCTTTACAATCTCTGCTCTAAAATAATTTTGCCAACGGGATGGGAGCTTTTGAATTTCATTTTGCCTTGGGGTCTCGAGTGAAAATCTGGCCTAGTGCTTCCATTTCTGTCTACCTCACTCCCATCACTTGGCGAAATATAAGGGGAGATCGGAAGGTGGCGCTAAGCAGTATGTTCCTCCTTCCCGCCCTCAAGAATATTTTCGGAGTGATCAGTCAGGTCTCTGTCTGAAGAGAGGGGATTATTCTTGTATACCTTTGCGCCATGTAATCTGGGCCTCAGTTGTAATTGTTTGGTCTTGGGTAGGGAATTCTTGACAGTCATCTGTGTCCGTGGAGAATCAGTGATAGGACTTATCTCGCGAATCGCTCAAATTCTTCCAGCCATTTGTCTGCGTGTGGTACCTTCTGTTGACGCATATCCCTCCCTTTCTAAATGTTACGTTACGAAAAGAATCTGTAGCTTTGGAACTGATCAATGTGAAGGTTCAAGCTGGGAGAAGAACAGGATGGGGAGAGCGAAAAAGAGTAGCAAGCCCATAGATTGACGCAGTCTATCTACCCTTCATTGGGGTTGTATTATCAACAGCCAAGTCCCTATCATTGCAGCGATCTGTACAAAGACTCGACGAATTTTTCTGGCCACCTGATCAACTTGTAAAAAACGTTCCTCTTTAATCGCAAAGACGATTGTTTGTTCATAAAACAGGTAATAACAAGACCCTAATCTTGCACTTTTACTTTCTCAACAGTCTCGTGGCGATCAAGACATCCACTACTTTAAATCTGCACTTTGGATGAAATTTTGGGAATATTTTGCCTTATGGATGTTTCTTTACAATAAAAGGCAGGATGGGAGGAGGTGGGGTGGGGGGTTCTATGGAGGCTCTGTGTTAGTGCGTGGATATGTTCGATGCATTCTAAAAACAATTATATCTTTCCTCCTTTAGGTCAACTATCGAGCGCCTTACCTCTACTCCATCTCACATGTTCGCATCAAACCGAAGGTATGTTTACTTCCCCTTCTGTCTCGTTCATTCGAATATAGAGAAGCCAATCTGGACAGTTTGTTTAAAACGTATGGGATGCGTTGATGTTGTAGGAACAATTTTGACCTCACAAAAATACTGTGTTGACTAAGTTGGCACACGTGCAGGTGCCGCGTCCTCAGAGTGACGACTACATCGTCTCTTTCGGGAGGTCCCAACTACCTCTTCGTCAATGCCAAATTTTAGCCAATCCTGAAGCGTATAGTCATCACTTCAACAGCAGCTCAAAAGTAGAGGTTTATGGAGTTTTAATCGGGTGAATTGGAGGATCGCAAATTGTGATCAAATTAATCACTTGGATTTTCCCTCATCCACACTCCTGGGTAACGCAGGCCGCATAAGAACGGTGCATTAGATAGCTTGTGCGCAGTTTCCAACTTTAACAAAATATTCCTCTTACTCTTTTCTTCTTCACAGCTGAATTTTAGCCTTTCCAAAGACTCCTCCTTCCTTGGAAGCATCTTCGAACCCGCCTCCGTGGAACGTGGTCACTCACTACGCGCCAGCCTGGCTCTTAGCTTGAACTACGGTCTCAATGACGACGTGGTGATGCAAAATCTCCAACAGTCGCAACAACAACAACAGCAAAGTTTTTGGGTCATTGATTTGGCCGGTCAGGTGTCACACTTTCCGGGTCTTTTTCGATTGAAAGTCTACCCTGAGGAGGCCGGAGGAAGTGGAACTGGCGGCGGTGGAAGTGGTGGTAGTGGAGGTGGAGCAGATTCCATGGAGGAGGTGGAAGAACATGAAAAAATGCCCGATGGAGAACCTCTTTTGGACTACGAGGTGGGAGTGTTTGAGGAAAATAAATTTGAGGTGAGTAAACATTTGAAACAGGAGTTTTCAAAAGTATAAAACCAGTACGTCCAAGTTTCTCTCTCGTTTCGTTAGATTTTAAGTGGTTTTCATCAACCCTCGTCATGGCAAATTCTTGTAACTTAGAAACTTGTCGTATTATTGTGTGTTGAGGTGTATGCATTGGGATGCACAAACGAAGTGCGTCGGTCTGTCGGAACGGCAATCTTTTTTGTGCCCTCCAATATTTTACTCTTATTTTAAGTCCTTCCATCATAAAACGTCAGTTGAATCTGGTGGATCCGATTTGTGCTGTATAAGCTTCCGGCCAAGGTGGTAGCATGAGGATGTGGTACCAAAAAGTACCTTCTAGTGACGGTTTGAACAATATGAAAGATCCTGGCAACTGGAAACGTCATGAAATCCAACTTCCATCGACTGGAAGATGGCACTAGACTCCAAAATTGTCAATTAGTTGTTCTTTAGTTCTTTTGCGTACTGTATACAAATATGTCATGAATTTCAGATCCATTACTGACTGACTAATTGACTAGCACATTTGCACTATGTTTTTCCACAAATCTCAATCCTTTTCGTTCATTTTTCAGCTGCGTATTCTGATTCCAGCTCCCAGCGAAGAGCCTGACTACGATAAGTCTTTTCGGCTGATCATTTTGGATGCCAAAAATCGTCTAGACATTCGTGTGCGTCGCGCCGTTCAACCGCCTGCGGAGATGCAACAGAGGCGCATGTACACCGTCTCCTCAAGCAGTAAGCAAAATATTCCTCCTTTTCGATGTGACTACTAATTTTACAGTAGTATATTGCCTAGTGGGTAGGACACCAATTTTTGAGCGGATTCTGTTCAGCAACTTGATGGTGTTATGAAAAATGATGGGGGCGCGAGAGATGCTTGGAGAGGCTGAATGCAGTCATGTCAAACAGTACGACAATTTTACCTCATATCATACAACTAATGTCATCATTTATTATTTGGCGTTCAACCAGGCTAAATGATTAAATGTTTGATAGATATGACAATCATGATGTTTGATCGTATGGCAAAAGCGTTGGGGAATAGGCAATTGACACACATATCTGTTGATATGCGCGCTCCAGTATAGGATGTACTGGTCTGGGGGATACAAATTGCTCCGAATGCCCGATCGACCAGGAAAAAATCACCTCTTGTGCTGGTTCAGAGAAACTGAACAGTGTCAATTAAAGATTCCTTGAAAGTCGTTGTAGCAAATGAAAAATCAGGCCATCTTTAGCCTTTCGTGTGACTGTATATTCCATATACACGTTGAAGTGTTAGGACGCGATGTGGAATAGGGTTTCAAAGCTGTAGGTTTAAAAGAGTGGGTTACCCTGTAGGTGCTCTCTCTTCCCTCGCGGCTCTTGTGCCAAGTTTGGCCGCTCGGCAACTTCGCGAGGCGAACATCGCTGCACCAGTGAATCGATTGGTCAGACGAGGACTCCCAACAACTGCAGCGTCGACGGCAGCGACAACAACGTTCACAGTTAACCGAGTGCTACCCATTGGACCTCCTGCAGAGGTTGTCTACGTGCTGATTCTTTTCCTTCTCCTTCTCTTTGTCATCCACGTTTTGGGGCACATTACTCAACCAGGTCTGTGTTCTGTGACCATCGCTTCTTTACATTCGGGTCGTCAATTTTTGTTTTCAATTAATGCGTCATAGATGAGATGCTATCTTGACTTCCTAATGACAATATTTGTGCTTTTTTCTCCTGAACCGCTGTTAAGCTTACTGACAGCCTCAAATGTTGATCTTTCTGAAGATCCCTCGCACTACTGGATTGGTTGCACACCCGCACAGACCTCTGACCCCAATGCCACTACCTCGGCGGCCATCTTCACCTTTCGACCCCCCGACAAGGTCACACCCCTGACCTACTGGCGACGGGTCTTTGTATTGGTTATCTACCTCTGTCTCAAATCGGCCTACACCTTCAGTGTTACCCTCACTGCACTCATCATTGTAACGCGCTACTTTACGAGGTAAGTGAAGAGTCCGTGTAGCTAATTGTGGACTTTAATATCATTATTGTCTTTTATTACAAAGAGAACCGGCCCAGCAGTTGGCCAGTATGGCGGAGTGGAACGGGCTGGGTGGGCCTGATCACAGTCGGTCAGTGGTGAGCATCGCGCGTCAGAAGCTGCTCAAAGACGCAATGGACGCCTACCTCAAGGTGGAACTGCGTCGACAACAACGCGAGGCTCTCGAGATGCACAAGGCCTGCTCTGCAGGCACCGACAAGATGTTTGACAAAATGGAACAGGTATTTCTGTCTTGCCTCTTTGTTCCATTCCTTGGGACGTGATTGCCGCAGTTTTCAGCTCATCTTTTACAGTTTTATGTCTCAGTTTAGTCCCATTTTCATGCCACAGTTAGTTAAGTGGTTGAACGGGTAGGTGATTGAGCTTTCCATTGTGAGGTAATGAAACAGTTGGGAAATCTGGTGGTCATAGATTCTCTATCATCTTGAAATTCAGTGGATTCTGTGGTGAGGTAGGGACCAATTTCTTTCGTCTACGGACCTATGGAAAAACACCAGGTCTTGTGACTTTCGGCCATATTTTAAATCAAACTAGTAGATTTTTCCGACAATTGAGGGGCTATTTCAATGTCAACTTGACAATAAGTGAAATAACCACCCACCTGTGTTGTGCCTGATCTCAGTATGACTTCTTGGTCTTTACTTCTTTATGTGCCCCATGCTGCGCAAATCTGTATGTTTAGGGGTTGTCTTCTCATATCTATTGGGGGTTAAAGTAAATTGCCGCAACTTTTGAGATTGAGGCCCGCATCTGGTTTCAAAACCCGGTATATATCATGGCAAACTAAAGATGGGTAAACAGCTAGCTGAGTTCTTTTATTTTAGGCCTTTGACGTAGCCTCAAGGCGCTCCGCCTCACGTCGTAGCCGCGTTCTTGTCTCTCAAGCTGTTGCGGAGTACGCGCGAGTCGCCGCTGCTGCCTCCGTCCTCGCCTTCGACAGTGGACTGGCAAATTTTAACACCACTGCACAGTGGGCGCTGCGCCGACTGCGTGCCGATCTGGAGGCCACGGAGGGCCTCCTTGCCACCTCCGATTGGTTGGCGGGCGCACGGCTCATCTACGAGGAGGTGGCGCGACTACGCGGCCTTGCACCTGACCCGGCGGACCCTACGCGACCCTTTCTGCAGTGGGCAAAGCTCTTGCCACCTCCCCTTTACGATTCGATTTATCATACCGGTGGTGGAGCCCCCGTATTTAGTCTGCCCCCGCACCTGCCTCACTTTGATCCCGATAAGATGCGACTGCCCACACCACCTGTATGGAATGAGGTGGTAGAGACGGGCGGAGGAGGGAGCGATGCCGACGCCTTTGAGACGAGATATGGACCCTCCTACCTACCATTTGTCTCCGATGCTGTGGATGTGGTGAGTTTTGAGTCGGTTCTTTGTTCCTTCGCAATCGGTGCGTGTGGGTTTCTTCTTGTTGTGTCTCTGCTTCAATTGCAGATGAACAAAACAACTTTAAGATTTCCCAAGCACATACTTTTTTCACAAACAAATTTTTGGTCTGCTTTTGATAAGGTGGCAGCCGTCTGTGGGTATCTACTAATCACAGCTTTAAAACATTCACTCTTGTAATTGGCGAATTAGGTAAATCTTAGATCGTTGACTCACATTTTAGTAGTTTCGGGGGATCATTTTGAAATTCAAAGTTAAATAAACTAGACAATTTAGTGTTGATTATTACTAAAGGGATAGAATGAGGACGCGACCGTAATTAGGTTCCAAAATGGCATGCCTGTAGGACGGTGAACAACTAGCCTGGTCAGTGTACGAAGACGCCGACGGCAGGTCCGACCAAGGCGAGACAGACTGGCCAAAGGACCTTCTTCAATCAAGTTCGAAGAAGAAACGACCCTCAACACACCAGCAGGCCGAGACCTCCAACTCCAAGTCCACCAGTGCAGACGGTGGCATCGTGGACGTCTTTCAACTCAACTGGATTCATCTCCTCTGTTTCGCTCTCTTCCTCGACGGCTTTTGGCTCGTTCATCGTGTGCTTCACACCGTGGATACGGCGGAACGGATTCTCTATGGGGAGCCTATTGTCATCGACTGCACGGATAAAGGTTGATGCAATTAAGCAATTCCTCCATTTTTGCTTTAAATCTTCGCTTACCTTCTTTTCTCTCCACCTTCGGCAGGTTTGAAACGACGATTGATGAAGAGGAACCGTTTTCGGAAAGGCGCAAAGTCGGCTTTTAAGGCGGTAAATTTGTGCACGCCTTTGGCGACGCTTCATTATCATCCTGTTTGTGGTTACTAGACTTCGTCTTCGTTTCTGTCTTGTAGTTCATGCGACAGGACTGTGTGAGACGAATTTGTGCTGGTGCCTTGACCCTTCTAATTGTTTGTCTGGCCTCGGCACATGTAAAGGATATTCTTTCGGAGCATGTTCTAGACTACACCGGTTATTATGACAATCTTGTAGGTCTTTTTTTGACATCGGACGTTTCAACAGACATGACCTTTCCTCGTGGAGATATTTTTCGCGCCTCTTCTCTATGTCTAGATGATGGATGTTCATCTGCATGCGCGTTTTGTCAACTTGCACATTGTCAGCTCGGCACGCCGTCTAACACACCAGGAGTTGGCCACCACAGAGGCCCACGCGGAGCATCGCTATCAGGAGGCGCAATTCCTCCTCTACCATTGGACCGGATGGCTGAATCGGGTTGAAATGGAGCAGTGTCGGGTTCTCCTCCTGTACAAGGTCGGTTAATCGGTCTGCCACTTTGGTCAGCTGTTTCTGAAGGCCTCTATATTTTACACCCCAATTGGAGTGACAGTTTCCAGTAGTTCTATGGTGAAAATTGGAGAAGGGCTTTTAAATAATTCTTTTTTTCTGTCTCCCAGGATTCATTGTTTTGTGGGTAGGGAAGATTTCAAACCTGGTTGATTGACGTTGTTTGATTCGATGCTATTGGTGCTCAATGCTCTTTTTATAAAAGTGTGATGAGCTTGGGGGAGAATCTTCAATCCATGCTCGTCGAAGGCGGATTACAATAGACTAATTATTTGGACGGCTATTTTGAGTCTGTGGACTTATATTTATGAAATTTGAAATCTCTACTTTATGGAATGGATAATCTAAATCATAGATGATTTTCATTTGATGGAGTACTCTTGGAATCTCCTCCTTTTTTAATGAAATGGCAAAATGCATGTATGAGTAACCCCGATTCCTCGCTCCATTGCAGGAAGCTGCACGGGCTCTACGTTCCAAAATCGTCGCTGACGAAGGCCTTTTGGGTGGCGGGAGTGGTGATGTTGGAGGAAGCACGGAACACTTCGCTCCTCTGCCTCCATGGTCTCCAGCTTCCGCATCAACGTCTTTCTCCTCCACAGTCAACACATCGGCTTCTAGCGAAGCCTTCGTGCCACGCCACTGTCGTCTGTCGGCCGCGGAGCGTGCAGCAGAGCTGCGTCAGCTGCGACGCCTCGAGCCGCCCCACTGTCCTATCAACGTCATCACACCGAGACTCTTCCAAGGGTGAGTTGCCTTAATTTTTTCTTGAAAAATCGCCAAATTTATTAGTTGATGTAGAAATCTTAAAGTAGGAGTGATGGATCAGAGGTGGATAAGGTAAGCGTTGAGTCGCTTTCTTCCATCCACATGCAGGAGGTGATCTGGCTGAAAGAATGGTATAGAAGCCGAAGTGTCAGTGCATCAATCCATCAGATTTCTGCAGTTGGTGAGTAAAAAGGGAAGGGATATCTTAACGAAGGACTGGGTAAGTTTATGAATCAGGAGTGCGTGGATCAGATTGAGATGGATCAGAAATCGACGAATCGAGAATTGATAAATAGATCGGAAATGGTAAACTGTCTGGTCGTGGATGAATGGGTTGATGTGATGAACGGACAGCAAATTGAAAGTGTTGAAAGTCAATTCCCACCACTCTTCACTCCTCATCATCTACAGGTACAATGCTTCGGAGTACTTTGCAGAGGTGGTCGCTCAGTCGCGTGGCTGGTTGTCGGCACTACAGGAGTGGGTCAGCGTCTTTCTCACTTGTGTATTCGCCTTTGTCTCCACCATCATCTTGTGGAACTCTCTGGGCGCCGTGATGTGGTTCTTTGCCCTTCGGTAAGTGATTGACACCTCCATCGTCGCTGCCTTATACCTCCCGGTGATTTGCCCCCTACCCAACACTTAGAGCATGGATTTGTTGCCTGCTCCCTCCAATTTATTCCTCCGCAAGAGGATCAGACACGCCCATATCTACCAGTAAATGGTCTCCACATTTTCTTATCTCAAGCAAGAATCACAAACCGTCATTAATTGGTTTTTATACTGGTGACGTTGTGACCCTGTCGAGCTCCCAACCAGAGTAGGGAAAGTAAGATGAGTTGACGGCCTGAGATATGGGATGGTTTTGTCCTCACACATTTTTAGGTTTTTCTTTGACCTTGGCCTTATGGTTAATAGTAGGACATTTAGAATGTGCTTGGTTGTAACATTGGCCAATTGGAAGAAAGCGAACGAGAGAGCAAGTTTTGCGATGCCTTAAACTGAGTGGGAACTGCAAGGGAAAGAAAAAGCTTCTAGAGGACCGAAGTAGGGGGTGGAGGTAAACTCTATTCGTAAAGCTATCAAATTCGAGTTGCATCTACCGAATTCATGAAAGGATTTGTGAAATGATATTTAGAAGTAAGAGCAAAGTGATAGAGTAGATCTGGAAGAGTATCAAGCCAACTGATTGAGTGACGCATTTCATCCTTCAAGTTGCATAAAGGCATTAGAGTGAGGTGCACTGAAAACGGTGCGAGCTTCATCAGTCGTCTGACATTTCATGTAAACAATTTCCAGTAATTTTTTCCATCCCTTCAAATAACACTGCATATCTCAGCATTCGTTTGGGTGACTCCTCAATTTATGTAAAATAGGAAGTTGTTGTGCATCCATAAACCATGATGGAGGTCATTTTCTAAATCAGTGGGAATGCGAACACGAATATTCTTTAAAAAGAATAATTGCGTTGCCTTTATACGAGTCTTGAGGGCCATGTGGATTGTTGCGCTTTGATTATTCGATCACATTTGTCCTTGCAGGCACATTTGAGTAGTATCTCATCGTACTTTTGCATAAATGATGAAACAAATCGAAAGGGTGTATGAAAGGAATTGTGTCCATCTTTCCTCGAATTATAGATTTAACCTCATCAATAGGAAGGTCTTCTACGAGTCCGACATCTCAAGTTGGCGCAAACCGAGTGTACCCGACTGCTACTAGACTCCCGCTGCTGAAAGTCCGGTATTTCCTCGTTCCCTCTTTTTATGTATCTACTTCATCGCCCCACTTACCCTCCTCACTTTCTTCATCAGTGCATGTGTCACTGGTTGTTTGTGCGTTAAGACGTTTTGACCTCTTCCATTCCTCCTTTTACCTTCATCTCAGTGCCAAGAGAACATCTGTGATTGAAGCTAACTTGCCGGTGAGATATTTGAGGATAATTGTTGATGTAAACTGAAATGCTAGTGGCCGTAGTCCAAGGCTGCGTGAACGTGTTGCCTGGATCCAATCGAAGCAACTAACCGGATAAAAAGGAAGATGGATATATTATGACAATGTCTGTAATAAGTGAGTGATAACCTTGGATAATTACCTCGAATGTGGTTATCGTGGCAAGAAAGATTGGTAGGATTGGCTTTTAAGTGTTTAATCCAGACAAAATTTGACGTTGGAGCTCGAGTACTAGTCTGAGACCGAGTCCGAGCTCCTTACTGAGTCCATGTCAATGATTTCAGCTGAACGTATTGAATGCAATAGATTGGCCTTGACCTTCGGCCCTGGCCTTCGAGAGGTTGTCGGTGTATTTACTTTTTTTACCCGTGTCCTATGTTAGCCAATCGAGAGTGAGGGAGAAGGGAGGAGGAGGAGAGTGAGAGTGGGAGCTCCGGCTCTTTCCTCTTTTCACTAATTAGTAACCGGTTGGAGCGCCCATAAAATTGAAAGAAACTGCTTTCCGGAGGATTGCAGACATCCACATTGGCATGCTCGATAGTTGTGGGTGGATTAGTTTTGTCTACACCGTCACCAGCAGAGGATGTATGGTCGCTCCTCCCCATTGCGTGTAGGTGGCCGCAACAATTACTAGAAGCGAATGAGGGGTCGCTGGGGCCCCTCTCCTCCTTTTCCACCCTACTTTCCTTCTTTTTGCTCCATCATATAATCCCTACCTCACACAATGTACAGATTGTTGAAAGTGACAAAGAAGTATTCACAGTGGACCGGACATGCAGCGGTCCCTGCCAAATTCCTCATGTCAGCATTTGCACAAATAACTGAACAGACAGCCGCTTTCGTCTGTTATTACTGACGAGGGTGTCCACTTTTGCAAGTTTCTATCCAGTAGTGCGGAAGAAGTGTACGTGTCCACGTCAAACTTCAACAGACAATGAACAGTTCTAACCTTGAGGTGGGTTTCTCAGATCGTCAATTGTCTGACGGATAAAGACGCTTATTCATTCAATTATCTGGTGGTGCAAAGAATCCACCGGAAATAAAAAGTGGTACGAGTCTAAATTCACGTGGAGCAGTGGATGCATCCCGAGGTAACCGGTTTACTTTCCTTCTGGCAATTAATCTGACCATTTACGTGCCACCTTCGGTGGCAGTGTCGACATACTCCATTCATCCACTACGCTTGTGCTTTGAATGTCTGCAAGCTAAAAGAACGTTACTGTTGGATTTTATGGACCTCAAGTGGAGCTTGCGTCTTCGATGAATTAGACGGACGGTTAGTCTGTCCCCTTCTGTACACTGCTGGGCTGTCACAAATTAACTCCAAGCTGTCATGTGTTGGATTTGTCGTTCCCTCTTTGCTTGCGCAAACTGCTTGGATGCGTTGCTTTTTGCATCCGGCATTGTCATGGCAATCGCCAATAGTGTATTTCATGGACTAACAGTTTGGCACACATGGTTAACTGACCTGTTAACATACAAGTAGACCAACAATGCTACGGTGACGATGTTAAAGGCGACAGTTATTCCACCGAACATAATCGACTCTCTGTCCAATTCACATCCCTCAACTGGGTCCCTTTATGATGCCGAGTGATTAACGTTAATGTGATCTTCAAATGCAAGCGTCTTCGATGCCTTTCCCAGAGGCATCGATAATGGACCTGTTCAAGAAAGAAGCTTTTGAAAGTATTTATGCTGAGTTCATTACTACTCGAGAAACACTCTGTTGGACACGTCGCGGACACCAGCCACAGTGTGTCCACAAGGCTGTTTAGTTAAACAGACATTTAGCAGAAGAAAAAAGTAGCAAGATTTACAGAAAAAATTCTCAGCTACTCTGAATACTTCCTCTTTCAATTAGGTGAGTTAACGACCTCATCGTAGAGACGATAGGCAGTTTAAAATCGGCACACATTTATCCACTCTTCTCTTTAGGTGGTAATGGTGCGTAAAGTGATGGCAGAGGTGGTAGGCACAACTACTCGATGAAGGGTGGACTGCTGGAGTACTGAGCAGGAAGTCCGCTCTACGTGAAACAGGGAAGTGCCCTCCATTCAAAGGCGTCAAATGACTCGATGTGCATGTATCGGTCCTCGCTATCAACATCACAGGACGGAAATGCCTCCTGTCCCGACTTCCTTCTGGTCTATTTAGAGTAGCGCACATAGTGGTAAAGGAGTGAAATTGAATCGCATTGAATTGAGTGTTTGAGCACAAAAGTGGATTCACAAGAAGCGGTGCGGAGTGGAGGGAGTTGGAGGCGGGAGGGCTAGCATGGGTGAGGCGTTGGAAGACCATAGGGCTAGTCCAGCCCTAGAACTACAGTACTATGCCAGAGTACGTTACGTGGGTGAATTTCGATGCATCATTTAGAGGCCGAGGCGTCGCGTTTAGAAATTTGCATACCTTTCATAATAATGAAATGCTGTATTACCCACTTCACCAAAATGCCCGACAAATGAAGCGACAAGAACAGGGAACAGTTGACGATTAAAGGATATGTGGGGGTCGGATTAACGGATTCCACCAGCATGTTTTAAGAGGAAATGGGGGACTTACCATAGATGAGGCGGTGGTGAGCTTCGTGACATCTCATTGAATATCCTCTTTCCCTTTCATCATGAACACTTTTGTTGTGCCGTTTTCTATATCCTTCACCACCTCATTCCCTTTATGTTTGTTACCATTTACCTTTATTTTTGTCCTGCAATTTATGCTAATAGACTGTGTAAGTCGAATCTGTTCTGGTGCCTTGAACCTCCCATTTGTCTGCTCGGCACCGGTGCAAGTGAGGCATATCTTCTGACTGTCTTGTAGGTCTTTTGATGCAATATTCAAACATTTGAGAATAAATCCTCCAATTCACATTACAAAAGGCACCTTCTACAGCCGATTTTCTATTTTACCTTCGCCACTGCTCTTTTACTGCACTTTTGGTACCGACCAGCCCTCTTCCTAAATTACTCTTTAATCCATTTAACACAGAAATTTTCGGTCTTTAACATATTTAACCTACATTAAGTACCTTGGATCATTTTCCTTTTGACTCCTCCGACCACTTAGTATTCAGCCGACTTCGTTGCCGGCTTTCGTGGGTTTTTCAGAACAGGCAATTTGATTGCCTGCTTATTAACATCCCGTCTGTCATGTAGGCCTCACGGTCAATCAAAATTGGCAGCTGATCACTCTACAATCACATTCTCTACCCTTTCTCCCTCCTTTGATCGCGTGAATGACAACACTGGATAATTATCTGAAAAGTAGTTGTCCAAACAGCCAGCGTTAAATGGGTAAAGATTCAAGCCTGCAGGCCAGACAGGCCTTGCTGTTGTATTCCAAGTCCATGTCAGTGATTTCAGTTGTGCATGAAGAGCATAACTGATTGATTGTCACTTTCGGCCTTAAAGTGGTTATTGTCATGTTTGCAGTTCTTTGTCGCTACTCGCTTTTAGTCAATTGGGAGGGGGTTAAAGATGAAGAGAGTTGGAGCACGACACCCATTTCTCTCGAATCTTTGATGACTAGCAAGCAATTAAGGCAGAATATCCGCCCCCTCCCCCTCCACTCTCCTCCATACTGCCTATGCGCTTCGTCAAGTTATAACCAGATGTGATCTACGACATATTTATTGACATGACGGTTTTCTTGAGGGTTGTTACTACAAGCATTCTATCGCGAAATCACACAAGAGCTTCAGTTTTACAAAAATATAATATTGTACTTAATCGAAGGGTGCCACGTTCAATGTCGCTGTTTGAGCGTGGACATGTGCGCCAGTTCCTCACCTAATGATTTCAGGTGGGGTGGTGGTGGAGGTCGCTTCACTGCTATTTTTGAGGTATGATTGGCTTGCTTTTTTTCACTCCCTACTTTTAATCAAACTCCGTAGTGAGTGTCTATATTGTTTGCTTCGAGCCAGTCACAAAGAGAGGAAAATTAGTCAAACTCCTTCATCTGCTGAGACAAAGGGTTGCGGTATGAATGGATAATGAAGCATTTTTAGGTGCCAAACACTTTTCGCACACTCATCTTTTAGGTTTTAAGTAGCGCATTTATTCTTGTTTAGGAAAATTTGGTAATTTTTTGATAGACATAATTTGTCAGACATGCAGCGGACAATAAAATATTTGATAAATTGAAACAGCTTTGGGTTCCACATTTGCTTTGGATTCCACATGAAAAGGTTAAAATTATCTGCGTCAGGGAGAAAAAAGCCAGATTTTGGGTTTCAAAGGTTTGAATAATCTGTAGTTAATGACACACTATTCGGTAGTGTCGAAGGGCCATCGTTTTGAGATGCAAGCCCTTCTAAATTGGACTGTATAACGTTCAACGTTGCCAAAGGGATCAAGTGAGGAATAAAATGTAATTAGGTTTGAAATTATCTTGCTCGTAGGACAGCTAACAAATTGTCTGGTCCTTGTTCGAAGACCCCGATGGCAAGTCCGACCAAGGTGTGACTGACAGTCCACTAGACATCCTTCAATTAGGCTTCAAGGAAAAAATGACCTTTAACTCACTCAGAGACGGAGACTTTTAACTCCAGGTCCACCAGTGCCAATGATGGCTCCACGGACGGCTTTCAAATTGACCAAGTTCTTCCGCTCTATTTTGCTCTCGTTCTTGAAGGCTTTGGATTGTTTGTGGTGTCCTTCGTACCGTGAATACATGGGAAGGGATTCACCATGGGGACCATATTGCCATCCACTGCAGGGATAAAGTTCTACTTTATGTCTTTCTCAACCCTCCTTTATTCTCACCCTTCACAGGTCTGATGAAGATGGATCATTTTTGGAAAGGCACGAAGGTTGCTTTCAAGAGGGTGGATTTGTGCAGTCTTTAGGCGACGCTTTATTGCCAACCTATTTGTGGTTATTACACCTCCTCTTCATTTTTCCCTGCCTTCCCTTCCTGGGTAGGAAGAGTTTAACTCCTGTTAAGAAAAATTTTATTTAATATGACTGTACTTGTTGGTTAGTACTCCTGTTTTAATGGGAGTAATGCGGTTGTATCAAGATATTCATATTCCTGTTTTTCTATAGGTGGACCAAAAGGGCCAATTTTTGGCAAAAGTATTCAACTTGTGGATTGGTTAAACTTTAATCCACCTCCTCTGTCAATGTTCGTCCAAGTTAATGACTTTTACACTTCTTATCCTTGGGAGGAAGTTAAGTGGCAATTTTCAATCACTTAATGCATCAGCGAAATAGGCTAAAATTTTGCAAGTTTTTTGAGCAGTAAGTTCGCTTCGACTTTTTACCCCTTAGATTTTCAATGCTTGGTGGTAGGTTTAGCAAACACCAAGGGAAGGGTAAAAGACTATTTAATCTCTCAATCAAGAATAATTTGAGCTAAGTGGAAGAGGCCGCAAACCCGATCTACAACAGCAACTTGATCTAGCACCCAACATTAAAACTCACGGTCTTTGACCATGAGAAGTCAAGGATTTTGATGCTTGTAGGTAATGGATCCATAAAGAAGGAATTCAAAATCCATGGATACTTAGCTTGGGAATCAACTCCAATTAATGGCAGGTTTTTAGTTGAGTCTGTTATTTTCAGCCTTTGGGAAGAAGTGTGCTTTATTAAACCCTGTATAATGAGTGACTGTAAATTCCTCCATTTATCATTAGACCTGGAGTTTATCTCCGCCTTTTGACAAAACCCCTTCGAGTTGATAGCTTTCGTGCACCCAACCTCCGCTCTGACAGAAAGTGGAAAGGTGAAATGATTTGAATGATGAATGCATGGGTCAATCGCAATCGTACTCTCAATTACAGGAAGCTGGATGAGCTCTCTTTTCCCATTTCGTTGCTGACGAGGGCTTTTTGGGGTGGTAGGAGTGTTGACAATGTTGGAGGAAACAAGCGACACTTCTCTGTCTCTATAGTCGTCAGCCCCTATATCGACGTCTTCTTCCTCCACAGTCAAAGTAACGGTTTCCAGCACAGACTTTGCGCACCGCTATTGTCAACCCTCGCTTGCGAAGAGCTCAGCGGAGCTGTGCCACTTGTGACGCCTCAAACCGTTCCACTGTCCTATTAATATCATCGCACAAAGGTTCTTCCAAGAGTAAGTTGGCTCAAGAAGTCTGACTGAATGGACAGACGAAGGGTAAATAGATGATTGGATCAAAGATGACCAGTAAAGTGATGGGTTGTTTCGTCCACTTTTAACCCTTTATGGTCGGCAGATGGTCCAAATGGAGGAATAGTGGAGAAGCTGAAGGATCCACACACTTGTCCATTAAATTCCTACAGCCGTTGGGTAACTAATCATGAGTTTTATAAAATGAACGATTGGGCGAATTGATGAAACGGTAATGCGTGTGTCGGGGGTTAAATGGATCAGAGGAAGGTGAATGGAGAATAGAAAAATAGGTCAGAAACAGTGCATTATTTAGTCATTGGCGAATGGACCAGGGATGAAAATGTGGAGAGAGGGCTTTCTTTTCGTAGCATCCCCCTCCATATTCTTAGGAAAAGCATGTTATTATTGAACTCAGCCAATTTTATGCGCCACGAGGGCCATAAATTGATTCTCTGACGTCCAATTATTTGTTTTGGTTCATAAAATGACCGGTAGATTATCGTTACACATCAAAACACCCAATAAATCGTGCAGACTCACAACAAATAAGAGAGTTAGTGACTTCGGAACAATTCTTTAAGCCTTCTTTTGGTTGACCGACTATTGATACAAATGCATAATCCTTCCACAGTCTGCGAACGCCTCTGTTACACAACTAGTTACTGCTAGAAGCCAAAGCAAAATCTAGCCCTAGTTACATCCATTCGTGACTCTTCAGCTTAAAGGAATTCGAAGGATGATAGTGAGCGACGGAATGGGGCAGCATATCCCCTCTTCCTCCCATCTTGACAAATATGCGACAGGGGTTCATGGGACGGCTTTGAATGTTAAACACTTTTTTCACACTGGTTTACCTATCCTCACCATTTGTAAAAGAATTTTTCTCGAGTAGGTAGATCTAAGTCTCAGTTGCTTTGGTATTCAGCAGGTGAACAACTACAAAACATTCTCAGCCACGTAGACATGAAGTGGTGGGTGACTTGGAATTAGGGTTTTGTTTGGTGGGTAGTGTGCGGACCATCTGGCTATGGACAATAAAAAAGACTGTTTATTATGCAGCACCGTCTTTTATAATCTACGACAGCGACATAAAACAAACCTGGCTCTTGTACACCACCCATCACAACTATTATCAAGTAATTTAATTTTAGCTATGAGGCTGAATTGAAGATCACTTAGATGCATAGTTTGAAGGACTCCTTTGCCTTAGTGAGAAGAGACCGGGCTTGCAATGCTATTTTTTGACCATTTTTTCATCAAACGGAACTTTTAAGTATGCTACAATAACCTAAAAAGTGTCCGATCGCCTTGACAACACAAACGCGGGTAACTGAGCCACTTAACATGTCTTCTGTTTCTAGTCGCACCAAAAGGTGGAAAACAACTTTACGAGAGAAGAAAACATCGGTTATATTATCAGTATGGTGCTAGTAATAGGGCAGAAATGTTAGTCCACTTATTTTAGTCGTTTGCGAAGATATAGGGTGAATACTACTGTATGCAACCAAAATATCTTTGACAAGCAGTGGGTCCGTATTCAAGACCTACCTGCATCGGCTCTTGAAATATGATCGGCTTTGGAGTCGAAGTCACTGCTTATTGCTTTATCTCGTTGAACCAACAGTACAGACGTTATCAACTCTATCTGTAGAGTAAAGAGCAATCACATCAGTAGATGTTCAACGCAACCCTGTCGCTGATTAACGGAGCCTCTTAAAATAATAAATTGCCCTGGAATTTGAAATTGTAAGCCTTGGGTTATTGGAAACGTATCAGATCCGTCCTCATTTTTCCCGACATCTGTCAAGGTGTAATTTTCTACCAAATGAGCACCTAGTTATTTGCTAAGTTTCAATGGCTGGACAGTGGGCATGGATTCAAAAGCTAATGTTAGTGGTATAAGCTTTCCTTAGATAGAGTCAGAGCAGTTGGACACTTGCATGATGACCGCGCATAGCAGACACCATAGCATCGCGATCGGTCCCCGAGACTTTGTGTCGACACAGCTGAACAACTTCACACCTCATGTCAAAAGTCTCTCAATTACTCCATATTCTTTGTTATCGTTCATTAAGAACTTACCGCATTTTAGGATCTTTTTGAGATAATATATCACCAGTACAAACTAATGCTGAAAGACAAATACCAATTACAAGATACAAAAGACATGACAGGTCACTAAGGATAAAACATCGCAATAATTTTCACTAAATAGCTTTGGCGATGCGGATGACTGCCTATGCGATCTCTTAGTAGAATCACCACTAAATAACGTTAATCCATTCTTGGAAGTATGTTGTGATATTGTTAGGTAAGTATGAAATATCATCTTGTACTTTAAGTTATTATGGCAATGTCCTTCAAACGTCCGAAGTACTGCAAAGGGTTCAGCACTGCTCTTCACTGCCTTGACTCACACACATTGGGCAAAGGAGGACATTCTTTACTAAATAAGTGCTATAAAAGTGCACAGGGAGTCGAATTTGTAGAATCTCGAAAGTAATTTGCCCCTCAGAGGTTATCAACCTCTGCTCAGTCAAGAGGTTTGTGCATACTGGCCAATTCTCACCTGAAATATCCATTCAAACAAACGTTAATTAAGCGTACCTTCGTCTTCCTCATTACCTTTCCCTTGCCCCTCTGGATAGTGTATGCGTATGCTATTTCAGATGGGCTTCTTCCCTCCGCGAGGGTGTAAATTACGTCTTCGTATCTGGTCGGAAGTGTAACCTATGCTAGCACACATTTCGTTGTACTGAAGTTTGACTGGTTGAATATGGAGTTGTGTATTGCCGACGAGGTGGTCTGTCGGTGCGATGAATTTTACCACTTGGATTACATTCACGCTCCACGGATGATGGAAATTGCGGTGTTCTCCTGACAGTAGGATCGGCCTGTCTAGCTGTACTAGGTCTTCTTCTCAGTAGACATTGGACTGCCTCTGCTCGCCGTCGTATCTCTTCTGTTTGATATATGCTAGGCGTCTGTAACACAGAGGGCCATTGAAAATCTGTACCATGCCTTCTTTCAATCTCAGCACGTACTGAGGGACACTGTAAGTTGCGACTTTCGCGTTTAGTAAAAAGATGTCGGTTGATACTGTGAGCATTTTGAAATATAAAACAGTAGTTGGTGTATGGACTGTAGACCTATCTACAAGCAGGCATCGTCCAAAGCATAAATCCCAGTCTTGTGATTGGGGTTCCCAGGCGAAAGCCTTTGGCAGTCCAAGCCAAGTGTAATTTATTCTTTTCAATTGTCCATTGTCTTGTGAATGTCTAAGTGTTGCGTTTGTCATATAAAACCCAAGGGGCTTACAAAGTTTGGTAAGGGGTGGGCTTGCGAAATCAACACCGTGATAGCTGTGCACCGTTTCAGAAACTCCCTGTTGACAAATTTAGCAAATAACGAAAGTGAAAGCAACCAATTCAGTGTCTTGTGTCCGCACGGGTTGTGCCTTGGTTACTTTTGTGAAGCATTTTACCATGACAGGGATATAATAGATCCCTCTTTCTGCGGTCAGTAGAGGATCCACGATATCAATGCCCACTGTCTACTCTGGGAAAACCTGTGGACATGTACTATGCAGTGATGCGATGGCTGTGAGGTGAGGCTTTTCAAAGCTGCTGTAAGCAACACAGGTTTGGTAGAGATCAAGTGAATTAGGGATAAGCGAAGACTACTAGTACCTTTTGATCGAGGCATCTAGCATCTGGTTTAGTGTATTCAAGTCCATTGACAAAATCCATATAAGCTTTGAAAGGGAGAAGATTTACTTTAGCTGCCACTGATGAGACAAATTCGACGTTCATCTCTTCCAGCTCTGATTACGTAATCTCGGAACATGAAAAGTACGGCAAGAACTACAGCTTTAGTAGAAGGATGGTATTAAAATATGGAGATGACAGCGGTTTTTTCCTCCTCAGGGGTTAGAGGCGTCCGCACCGTCACTTGTTTGGTGCAAACTGGCACCCTTCCTCCAAAAAGGGATTTTAAATAAACAAGTAATGCACAATAGATACTAATTGGCAGTTCAAAAGCAACACCTATTAGAAATCTGGAAAACAAGTACCCATATTTTCTGCTAATTCGAACTTGCAGTACGCCATTGTACCATCTTAAGAATTCCCTGAAAGAGCAAAAGGCAAAATACCTGAGTTGAACATGTATTGGCAACGTAGAGAGGGGCTATAGGCCACTAGTATGGCCCAAGGGCGTGCTGACCAGTCTACGAACAATCACAGAATCCTAACTGCCCTTCACACCACGACAAAGAGTAGACCAATTTGTAGTAATTTAGCTGCTTGTATAATTCTCAGTTCTAGTATCAGGCCACTCGAGGCTACACTACTATGATTTAACTTGAATTCGGCCACTATGGCTGTGTTACTGGCCTAGACGGCCTTCTGTAGGTCGATAATGTATATTTTTCCCAAGTCTTGTATTGGGGGTTGCCAATTAGGTTGGGGGTTGCCCACTTAGGTGTAATGTAATACTTATTTTG